AGGGTTACTTCCTGAGAAATACATGGCAAGAGGGCTTCTGGTAAAAGTTTGTTTGGGTCTGTTCTCTAGAGGACTGTTCCCAGTGTGAGTGGAATGACCAGCAACATCTAATACAGTCTGGTTGTCCTTCCAGGTTTGTTCCACTGACTCTCAGTGCCCTGGAAGGCAAAAGTTTCCATTCTGGGTCCCTGAAGCTGGGCAGGAGGAGGCTACACTTCTGAACCTGTGGCTTGTGTTACCCTGATTCCTGCTATTAGCAGGAAGGACTGCCTCAGCACAGGGACCAATGGAACTCAGCATCTAGGTCCCCAAACTGCTAAGTCGAAATGTTAAAAAAAAAACAAAAAACTGTGTAAAGTCAAATCAATGAACACAGGAGACATGTACACAATTAGAGGAGAAAAATAAATAAATTAAAAATCCTAAGTACCTATATTCTAAAACTATTCTACTAAGATGAAAAATGTATATGATTAATTTTATATTAAAATATGTAACTGAAATTAACTCCAGAAGTGCTTGAGGACCTAACCTGCTTGGTAGGAGAAATCCAGAAACATAATGGTGCTAGCCCAGAGATCTCACACATAGTTCTCTTAAACTTAAGTAGAAAATGATTCTAAAACCAAGTAGAGTTGTCCTCAGGGGTTTCATTCCAGGACCCTCCTCAGATATCAAAATATGATGTTGTTCAATTCCCTCATATTAAATGGTACAATATTTGCATGTAACCTATACATATTCTCCCCTTTACTTTAAATCATTCCTACATTATTTATAATACCTAATATGATGCAAATGCTATGTAAATGCTGCCATATTGTATTACTGGGGAATAGTGACAATAAAATCTGTATGTGTTCAGAGAGCAGATGCAACTCTTTTCTGCATATTTGTCATCCACAGTAAGTTGAATCCATCGATGCACACAAAAGCAAGCTGTGGAATGATTAATCATAATTATGACTATTGATAGCAGAAATCATAAGACCATTGCTACAATCACCTCAGGAATATAATAATGATTTAGTCTGAAGGATTCTATTAACATAATAAAAAATTCTACTAGAGCAAAGGGGGAAAGTTTCTGATGATCTCCATGGATACTGGGAAGGCTTTGACAAAAATCTAATATGCACATTTTTCCAAGGGAGCAGTAATAGTTTGAGAGACTAAATGGATACCTTTTTATTATGACAAGGAAAATACATGTCTTCATACAAACAGAATTATGTGAGACATTAAAATATCCCATTAACATTAAGAACAGACAAGTGTGCTACGTGAATCATTGTTCCTTAACACTATTCTCAAACGCAATTGGATGAAGAAAGAAAGAAGTATAATATTGGGAAGAAGTCCAAAGAAAATCTGAGAAAAAACATCACAATTATAGTGGTTGATTATGACATTAATGTAGAAAACCCAATGACTTTTCTAAACATCCAGTTTGAAAAAATGGGAAAAAAATCATTACATTGAAAATGATAGCAAAACAAAACATCTGTAAATAGACAAGAGATTCATAGAACCTGTTAAACAAAATCATAAAACTCAAATGAGTGACTTAAAATTTGACTTGAATACAAGCCTAGATTGTAGTGTTTCTGAATAGCAACACTCAATTTATAAATTGAGGCACAATTTTAAAAAATGATGCATATGACAGAGAAATAAAGAGAAAATGGCAGTTGATGGGTGTGTTAACTTGAAATTTGAATAAAGCTTTAGAAAAGGGGGGGAGAGACACACACACACACACACAGAGAGAGAGAGAGAGAGAGAGAGAGAGAGAGAGAGAGAGAGAATATCAACAGAAGAAAAATAGACCCAAATGCTTAAAGAAACTAAGTTTACACATAAGGTGGCATTTTGAGCAAGTGGGGAGAATATTATTTTATTACAGAAACACATTGTTATATACTGGATTGACACCACTGATCACAGATTGGAGGGAAGAAATAGGGTCTTTACCTCTATTTCTTGCAATAAAAGATTCCCGTGAAGTCAGAAGATATAAACAAATGAAACCACAAAGTTTTAGAAGAAAAAGTAAGTAAGTTTATTTATAATCTCAAAATCAGGAAGGCATTTAAATAAACTGTAAATAAATCCCAGTATCTGCAAAGAAAAATACAGATAAATTTACAACATAATATTATAAACTTTCTATATGCCAATAAACAAGCAAACTAATAAACACATCAAAAGATAAATGATAAATTAAAGTATTTCCAGACATAAGAGAAAGAGCCTGACATGCATAAGAAAATGAATTAAGAAAATAAAGCCAAATAACCCAATTGAAAAACTGCATAAAAGTATAAATTTACAAAGATTGAAATTGCCAAAAAACCATTTGAAAAGATGTTCAACCTCACAATAGAATGAACTAAAGTCAGAATAATATTGCAATATCTTTTTTTTTTTTTTTACCATGTTGGGAAAAAAATAAATTCAACAGTATTTAGCACTAAAAGGCTAAGAAATTTGTCCTTTCATTGTACTCTTGGTGGGGTATCCACTGATTGGTGTCTGGAAGATAATCTGGCAATATCTATCAAAATGTTAAATGCACAAAGCCTTATTGTCCAGAGATTCCATTTCTAACTGGAATTTCTACCAAGATATAATCACAAAAGTGTGGTAAAATATACACACAGAGATGATAAGTATAGGTTTGCATATAAAAATAAAAACTGGAAATATCTACATGTTTACCAATAAAAGAAAAAAAAATTCAAATAAATTATGGTCCACTGAGGCAAAGGAATGCTAAGCAGCCATTTAGAGAAATAGAGGTAGATCTTCATATGTCACTGTGGAAAGATCTTTAAGTCAGAACACTAGGTGCAGAGTGCTTTGCATAGCGTGATGGCTAGAATATGTCTTTCTCCATTCCCAACTCTCTCCTCCTTCAGCCCCCGCCCTTCTTTTCCTCCATTCTAGAAATGTCTCTGAAAACTCATCAGTGGAGGACAAAAAGGAGTCTCTGTGGAGAACAAAAAGGGGCCTCTGTGGAGGACAAAAAGGGGAAGGGGTTGGGAGGAAGCTGCTTGGTTTTGTTTTGTGGTACAGGGGACTGAACACACGATGCTCTACCTCTGTGCCAATTCCACACCTTTTTAATTTTTTTTTTATATTGAGGAAGGGTTTTCCCAAGTTGTTGAGGCTGGCCTCCAACTTGTGATTTCCTGCCTCAACTTCTCAAGTGACTAGGATAAGGAAGGTTTCTGTTTCTAACCATATACATTTTTCTAATTTTGTGGGGAGTTAATTCCTAATTATTATTATCAATGACAGAATAGTTATTTGGGTGGTCAAAATGATAAACTTTTATTTGCTTTTTATGTTTTTCTGTATAAAATACAAAATGAAAAACGTTCTCTTTTTTAAAGAAAAAAAATATATGGTAGAGATTAATTTCATGTAACAATAAGATACGAGGCTCTCTCTTTTTAAATCAAACACTTCTATTTGTTTCTAAAGACACTTCAATAGGAAAAACAAAAACAACATTGTGCGTCATTTGTCCACACCATGTAGAATGGGTGGATGACCCTGCTCCAAATAGCATTTTGCTAGAGTCTCGTGGTTTATCAACCTTCTTGTTGTAAACAAGTTCTCCTCTTAAGTTGCACACACAGGCACTTGCACATATGCACACACCCATGCACACATAAAACACATAAACCTTCATTTCCTCTAAACAAGTGAATTTATAGGCATTACTCAGAAATTAGTGAAATGGATGGCAATTTATTTTGATCTGAAAATTTAATCTTTCATGATGTGCCCCACTCAGTGGTTGGAAGCAGATTAAAGATTTCTAGGAGCTCAGAAGCACAGTTTTGAGCTCTGAGCAGTTACTGAATGCTACAATAGAACCACAGAGGTTTTTCTTGGTGAATTACCTTCTGATCTCATTAAAAACAACAACAAACAAGAAGAGGCATAGTGATTACTACCTGCTAATTTCAGTGGGATATGGTGTCCCCTCTTAGGTTAAAAAATTGAAATTGTTCTTGTCTTTAGAACACATCTCCAGTGAATCACCCATTAACCCTGAGCCAACTTTCTGTGTTGAAACTGGGGTGAACAGGCTATAAGGATGCAGATCCCCAAAAGCCAGAAACCAGGGCTTATTGCTGTGCAGCCTCTGATGTTCTGACAGCTCCTCCATTTTGACTGCTACTGATGGGCATCTCGGAAAGCCACCATCCCCTCCCCAGTTCTTACTACACAGAGGGCCAGAGAGGTCCCAGTCCTTGCATCCTGGCCCTATCACATGGAGAAAAAGCCAAATAATATGCTCACTTTACGGTGTGCATTTGGATGGACATTCTTCTAAAACGAATCATCTCCTACAAGTATGAAGCATCTAATACATTCTTATTTTTAAAAAGCACATTAAAATGTGTAACTTAGCTTCAGTTATTCCTTCGAGCTGGTATTTCTCACAGAACCCTATTTGTCCTTTGGATTTTGCAGAACAGAACAGTGTCCAGGGGTAGCAGAAGAAGCGTGGGAGTCATCTAGGATCTACAGGGGACACAGCCTCTCATGCACACTTGACTAGGTCTGGTCCTATATTGCAATAGACACAAACTTGAGTCCCTCTGATTTTTCTCAAAAGAATAGGTTTGTAAAAATTAGCTGGTATAAACATAGTTTACGAGATACACACACATACACACACAAACAGTGTCTGTCTCACTCTCTTCTATAAACAGCATACAACTGTTTCTCTCTACCGACTGTCATTGGTAGAGAAAAAATATATAGTTGAACTACAGAAAAGCCAGCAGATCGGTTTTAGCTTTTTTTTTTTTTCTTTCACAAGTCAATTATTAGAATGGATTTAGTGAGTGGTTTATTATGGTTAGTTTTAATCTAGGTTTGTACATAGGCAAAAGCACTCGTTGAATTTTCATGTGGGCCTTATGGCAAGTGACATGCAAGCATGCAAAACCAACTGTACAGGCCTGCCCTGACAGTCTGGAGCCACAAAGATCTCTCTAAATGGCTCTCCAGAAAGAGAACAAATGGGCAAAATGACTGTACAGTGGCCCTGCTGAACAGAATGATGTGCCAGTGGTATGCATAAGATATCAAAGAGAAAAATACTAAGATCCTATTACTGAAGGTAACAAGGAAACTGTAACCATCAGGATTGACAATTGACAGCCACAAAGGATACATCAGAGTTGTCACATTTAATGCTGCTGTGAGTTTACCACACAGAATTCTCACCAACAACCACTTTGCCTATCTGTGCATTTCCTATGTGTATAGAACTGGGTGATGTTATGCAAAGTCTTTGGACACAGCCTCCACGAAGTTTGGAGCTGACATGAGGATGCCAATGGTGCAGATGATGGTGAAGACTGAGAAGGCCATGAGGCACAGGCGGTCCACCACGCAGGCTGCAAACTTCCACTCACTACAGACAGCCTCACTCTCATCCTGGCAGCGGAAGCGGTTGGCAATGTAGCGGACCTCCTCCAGGATCTTGGCCAGGTCTGGGTCCCCCTCTGAGGGCTGTCCACCATGCAGAAGGTGCTCATCATGTGTAGGGGAACAAGCCATGCGGCCACACACAACCCCAGAGTCAGGGGTCGGGGCACAGTGCATGCCCTCCAGGCCTCGGAAGCCGATATATAGAAGGTTCCCGTTGCTGGTAGGAGGCCCTGCACTCGCACTCAACTCCACACTGGCCAGGCTGCAGCGTCGCTGCTTGTGCTGGCAAGCTGGGCGGACCTTGTCTTCCCCGGGCCTCTTCATGCGCAGGAACCATGCACACCAGTTAAGAAGAATGACTCTGGTCTGGGGGGGACAAGAGAATGTTAAGAGAGGCCAAGAAGTGGATATTAACTGATCCTGACAGCACTGTGATCCTACATAACAGGCCTGACTTTGTTGATCCTGGGGCTAACACGTTTCATCACCTCCCTAATGATTCTATACGGGCAAGCAGTGCCAAAGCCTAACAACTGTTAGTCAAATATGAAGTGAGAATAAAAGCTATAACAGGTTTATCACCCTGGTTATGAGCTGAATTTTTCCCTGGGGTGGGCACACATGCTGCATTCTTTAAGAAGACAGCCTTGTCAGAGGAGGCCTGGCTTGGTAAGAATACCTCTGGGATAGGTAAACAACAAAAGTCACTTTCCCTCTCTGATCTTAACACATCTGTAACCAAGGACCTTCAGCTCTAATCCTCTATCTCCCATACTGTGTGTAAGGCACCCTGGAAGACCACTGTAAATCACAGGGGCACTGGGAGATTTTAACATTCAAGGACAGCCCTTGAACACAAGGACCACTGATTTGAAATAGTTCAGGCTTTCAACATTAGATGGTCACATCTCGTGATGACATTATATCTTTGCAACACTGGTTTTCCAAGTTGCCCTGAAAAAAAAATCAAGTGCCAATGTGAAACAAAAAAATGAAGACAGTGGTTTCCAATCTAATCCCAAGACTCAAGAGGATGTGCTGAACGTACCCCACAGGTGCTCTCATGATGTTAAGACATAAAAGCTAAATTGTTTCAACCTATGTAATAAAGACACTGTGGGGGAATATTTCCTCAGGTCTAGGAGCTCTGTGGAAAAATTCCTGAGACACCAATGTGCTGTGGACCAAGGAAGTCATAGAGCCCCTCATCTTAGGATCCCTTAAGCTACAGTGAACACCAAATACAAGGATGTCTGGGAAAGTACTTAGATTGAAAGTTGAAAGCAGAGTTGGCAAACTTTGTATAAAGAGACAGATGGTACATTTTTAGATCTGCAGGCCACAGATCTCTGTTGCAACTACTCAGCTTACGAAGTAACAAACATAGAAAGGAGGTAAACGGATGAGTATAACTATTTCCTAATAACACTGTATTTTAAAGTTTGTGGGCTAAATTTGACCAGCTGGGTCTCAGTTTGCCAAACTCTGGCTCAAGTATATTATACACATTTGGTACCAATGTGCCTGAAGAAGTTTGTGAAAAATTACCACGTGAGTTTATATTATTTTTAACTCTCTTGGAAAGAGGGGAGACAGCTAATGTCCCAAAATAAGAAAAAATAAATAAAGCATTTTTGTAGGCATCTCTAGATAACTATATAATTTTTGTAAGTTTCCCTAGATAAGTGTATAAAAAGGGAGCTCTTTTTCTATAATCATCCAGATACCTATTTCATTTTTTGAGTATGAGAAAATTTCATCAACAACCTAGCAGGTCTATCTCCATGTAGATAGAGATGGTAAGCTGTGAAGCTCATATCTGCAGGGCAGTCTTTCCTGACATTCACTTTTATGGTATCTTATCAAAGGTGACTGAAGCAAACAAGATCTGGGGGCAGGGAATAAATTTTTAAAAAAAGAAGAAGAAACACTAAAATAATTTTCACTATAGCTTCAAAGACAGTCCTTCATTTCACAGTGTGCTTTCCACAGTAGGTGGCACTCTATATCCTAGGAAGGCTAGGTCTCCTGACCCTGGAGGGTTTTTTACCATCTGTGCCGAGGAGGAAAACATAAACCTCTGTGAAAACATTTAGGGTGAATTTGGCCCTCAAGAGACATGTCATCTCACTTGGGCCATTAAGAGCTCTAGGAAGTGAGCTTAATTCTCCCATTTTACACACAGATAAAATGAAGCTCCAAGACGCTAATTAATTGGCTCAAGGTCATACAATAAGCAAGTGGTTACACCAGGTAATGTACCTAGACCTCTGTAGCTTCATCAGTCAGAGATTACATGCTCTTTCAGCGTTCCTGTGACTTAGCCCAAATCCTTCTTGGAAATACCACAAAGTCTTCATCAGACCTTGAGGGAAGGTGTCCGACAGTGAGTGCAACTATACCCAGATGCAACTGTGCACATGAGAGCCAAGCAGGGTCAGGCACTTTTCCAGCCATGACTGAATCTGCACATCCCCTGAGGCACAAATCCAGCTAATATGATCCACATTGCCAAGTCTATTTTTAATTCCATGGCCTGAATTATTAGCTTTCAAGGCCAAAGCATCTCCAAAGATGAAATTATCCTCTTGGCACTTATCAAACTGTGCTCGTGACCTCTTCTGTTAGGTTATAGTTTTGTTTCTGACTGTGCAAATGTCACATAATGCCACTGCACTCAGCAGTATCTTCTTCATAGCAACAGATCATTGTAAGAGTCCCTTGGAGGCTGTTTATGTTTTAAAAACACATGGAAGAAAAGAAAAACATAGTATGCTATATAAAAATGAAATGTATACACTTTATATTTCATTTGTAGCCAATTGGTTTTAACAAGCTCTTATGCTAAGAGGTGAAAAATTAGCATATGCTTTTAATTAAGATTTTTCAAAAGAGCATAGTGCTATCAGGTCATTAAAAATGGTTTTGCATCTGTGTTTCATTCCCTTATCTCCACATCAGTTGAAAAACTAATTAAGAAGTGTTCATATTTTCATAAACAAACACTAAAAGGAAAAAAGAAGGAATTCATTTAAATGTTTCAATATTGGTGGTGGGAGCAGGGTGAAGGGTGGAAATGGGAGCTCAATTTTCTTAGGTATAGTGTTAATATGATATACACTTTTTGAAACAGGTAAATGTATCTAAATGTATCATCTGCTTCAAACAGAAAGATTGACAGACAGACAGACAAAAAATAAACTAGAAGCCTACTCTCATATCTGTCCTGGCATCTTGTCTAAGTGTGTCAAATATATAAGAAAGTCAGATGAGAATGTAGTTGCATATGTGCAAATGTATCCCATTTTTTAAAGGGGGATGGGCACTTCTCAAAACAACTCTCACATATGGTAGCAATGTGACCTGTGCAGGAGGCATTATCATTTTAGGTTGAGTGACACTGCTGTTGGCACTATAAGTTACAGGTGAGTTTTTACTAAGTACATGAGAAGAGTGTACATGAAAAGGAACTTGAGGGGAAACAGTAAATTTGCAAGCCCGATATTTTTAAAAAGTGATCTTCCCTTAGTTAACTTGTAGGTAACTATGAACTATTGCACATTGAATGTTCTTAGAAAGCCCAGAAACTTTCTGTTCCTGGAGAGTATATAAATGCATCTCATACTTTATGCTACATTTAGCATGGTGATGATTCCTAGACTCTCTTCTGGGCTTAAATACAAACTAATGGATCTCTAGAGACAGGTTCTTTTGGGGACAGAAGAGATTTTTCCATCCTAGACTAAACACTCTGGACAGGAAGATCAGGAAGGTCTGCAGGGTTCACATGAGCATGGGAGGTGAAAAACTCAGGTTTTGTTCTGGTGACATGGGGAAACTCCTGGCCCTGGCTCAGTTCTAATCAAGTATTCCATTTTTTTCCATCCCCTTTCCTTTTTCTACTAGTAACCTATCTACCTTTACATTATAGGGTTTCCATTAGATTATGTTTCTATGTGTATTAAGTGTATGTACACTTGGGCCCTTTATATCTGCGGGTTCCACATCCATGGATTTGACCAACATTGAGAAAATAACTGCATCTGTACTAAACATGTACAGACTTCTTTTTCCATTATTCTCTAAACAAAATCTAAAAGATTTTGTTATCTACAGGCAATCCTGAAATCAATTTTCTGCAGATACGGAAGGGTAGCTATGTTTTTGTATAGCTCATTCTGTTGTGAAGCCCTAACCATGTTGCTAAGTGTCTGTGTCATCAGTTGCTTTCTACTGTTGCAAAATTCTCCAATTTGTCCATGCAAAATAATAGTTTTTAGAAACACTCTGTTAGCAAAATACACAGGCAGCCAGTATGTGAGCCATGCTCTGGGATGTCAGGTTAAAACACTGTCATAGGATGGATACTAAGAGGCACACTCACCATAACTACACTCTCTGAAAAGAGGTTGAAGTCAGAGAGGTGAAGTCATATGAAAAACAGACCCATTTGTTTTGGAGTGCTAATTTGGGGGCTGGTTTTTAAAACAGATAAACCATATGAAAACTCTGCTTTAGGGAGGGCTCTGACCCCATGGGAGTGAGAAGAACATACCCACTTAGGCATCTTGCCCCCATCAGGGTCATGGTGGTGATATTGCAGTACAATCACTGTCACCACAACAGAGAGGCCCACAATGATCATGGTGCTGGCAAAGTACTGGGCTGTGAAGAGAACAGACACAGGGTGAGACCTGAGGCCCCAGGAGCACTGAAAGTCACAGGAGGAGTGTGCAGACCTCGCTCTCTTACTGTCAGTGACTGGCTGTCTGGGCCAGGCCTATAGCCCACTGCCCACACCCCTGGTGGGAAGCAGGCAGCCTAGAACCCAAAGACCTGACTTTCCATCACCGTATAGGAGTGGCACCTCCCATAATAAACCTAATAGGTGCTGGCAGAATGCTGCTTTGCAACCTCACAACTGAGTTGGAGGATTTGCTTCCCTGACAAGGAATAGAACCCCAGCTGCAGTAGTGAGAGTATCTAATTCTAACCACTAAACTGGGTATCCTTTTGTATGGTTACATTTATTTCCATACAGGAAGGTGCAAAGCACCTGTCATTCCTCCCCGAGCAGAAGGTCATACCTCATACCTGTCTTGGGCAAAACATATATTTCCCCCAAATATTTATTATATGGAGACCCTGAGTTATTCCTGGAAACAATGACTAAGAGTTAAATTGTATGTTTCTCCCTTTGTAACAAAAGATTTGTAGACAAACAAGGTCTCAGCTAAAATAATGAATCTCTAATAATAAAATCTTTGACCTCAAAGCAATAATAAGTGGAAGAATTTATAATAAGTGGCATAATAGGCAATTTTGCATGTTTTTTTCTTTGAGATGGGAGTCTCACTATGTTGCCCTTGCTGGTCTTGAACTCTTGGGTTCAAGTGATCCTCTTGCCTCAGCCTCCTGAGTACTAGCACCACAGTGGCACACCACCACTCCTAGCCATTTCAGTAACTTAAAGCCTAACCACACAGTTGAATATCCTCTTCCCACTATTTGGGCCCAAGTGAACAGAGGCAATAGATGAGGGAGCGATACAGCTCTTCAGGGCATGAAGGACACATTTCTACTCTTTGCATCTACTGGGAAATGCTAGGGACTCTCTAAATCTGTAGTTCTAGAAAGGAGCCTGACTCTTGACTTACCTATCAATGGCACTGAATCAGATGTTGCGGGCATAATCTCTGCTACAAGCAGCATGAAGACAGTTAGAGACAGTAAAACTGTGATCCCTAAAACAAACACACAGAAGATCCTTAGACAAAACAGGCAACAAGTTCTAAATTCCCTCTACCAGTAATCGGGTCATCTAACCTGAGTTTCAAAGAATTAAGGAGTTGCTGGGGAAAGGCCTTGGGACAGATGGTTTCTTACATATGGGCATTTAAATTTTTTTCTGGAGGAAAATCTCTATCACCTGTCAAAGTCCCAAAAGAATCTCTGACAAAGACAAGTTTCGGAATCAGAAATTTGGAGGAATCATCACAAAACAATTATCTGTCAGTTTCTTTACCACAATATTATTGAGAGGTACCTCCACATAGTGGGAAAAAGAAACCTTGCAGTCAGAAGGCCTGGTTTCAGGTTTTGACTCTGCCATTTACTAGCTGTGTGATCTTAGATAAGTTATGTAATGTTCTGAACTTGTACTCAGAAGTTTAAATGTTTGTGATTGATGGACTGAGATACTGAGAAATTCTTTGAGATATTTAAAAAGTCATTTCACCATTCAAAGTTTTACTTTTCTTATCTTCATATGGAAGCAACTGTAAGGAATTATGCTGCATACAACAATAGACAAATGCAAGCCGAAACCAAGCTAAACTCTTCCCTGTCCACAATGAAGGCTAACTTGTTGCCACCATGGAGAAAGCACAGGCACTTCTGGGCATAATCCAACTAGCTGGTCCCTCCATGGGTGAATCCATACTCTTTGTAGGATCAGAGGATTCCAGGATCCTGTGTTATTCTCAGGAGGGTACATCCATCCAGTTTGGAGCACAAATCAGGAGCCTATGATATTCTGGAGCTGCTTTGGTCTAAGAGGTTCATGAAGAATAAGTCAGGCAGGCCCTTGGGACCCCAAAATACATCCCTGTACCATCCACAGTGAACCCTACAGAGCTGACCTAAACAAAGGGCCTCCAGTCTCAGACTCTTGCCAAAGATATGGGCACTTACCAAGGGAGATTTTCTCCCCAGAGTCTGCAGGGAGCAAGAACACTAGCAGGGCCAGAGCTGAGATGAGCACACAAGGGATGAGCAGATTAAGGCCATAGTAGAGTGTCCTGCGGCGCATCGTTACCGTGTAGGTGACATCCGGGTATGGCTCTTTGCAGCACTCATAAAACTTCTCACTCCTTTTGCCTGGAATTCCTGCATGGGGAGGAGGAGAAAAGGAACTATCATTTGAAAACATAATTACTGTGTTTGTTTCCATGTATATACCACACACAAGCATAGCCCTGGAGTTTGCTAAGTGCTAAAAATCTTGGTAACTGATGTTTGAACAAACCCTTGCTGGCTTGTTATAAAATTGTTTTAAGGTATCTCAGTGATACTTAAGCAAATGGGTAAATATTCTTTTGAAGGATTATAAGTACATAAAAGTACATAAGAATAAATGATGCACTTTCAATTTTTATCATTATAAAAGTAATTATAGTCATGAGCCACATAATGATGCTTCTGTCAAAGATGAAACAAGTGAATCTGGGGATGTGGCTCAGTGGTAGAGTATCCATTTGGCTTTCATGAGGCCCTGGGTTTGATTCCCCAGCACCAAAAAGCAAACAAATAAAAAAGAAATTGATAAAAAATGTGCTTCAGTTTTATATCACCTACTGAACTATAGCTGTCTCAGTTTGTGTATGTACAGTGTATGATGCTTGCATAATGACAAAATCATGCAACAAAGCATTTCAGAATGCATATTCAGTGTTAAGTGAATTTTAACTACATTGCTTTTCCATTTTAAATGGCTGTTGATAAAATAAAAGTGAAAATGACTGCAGAGTAGTAAAAAAAAAATGTTTTTCTGAGTCTTAGAGATTTGCTGACGGGGTAGATTGCGAGATAAATTTCATGTTGAGAACTGAATCTTACAGAAGGAACGATTTTTTCAAAATCTAACAATTCCTTGCAAGATTCGAGGAATGCTACAATGACCAGTTTGCCTCCTGAGCTGGACAATCCAATGGACTATGAAATTTATGATCACCCTGATTTGCATCCATTTCCAACTACCAGAGTTGCCTCAATCTTGTTGATCTTTTCCCCAAAATGCTAAGCTTTTATACCCACTTCTTGTTATAAACCCCAAGCTCAACTGTCCCTAAGCAGACTTGTTTAGTGCGTAGCCAAACCCGTTTCCCAGTATTTGTAAATGTGTTTTGCTACTGTATAAAACTGTTTTTACTTTATCTGGACCTCATTTATGACACTCACACTGTTGATTGAAAGTTGCTGTGCAATCATATTTTAGCAATGGCATGGACTTGAAGATGTCACCAGCACTGACTTGTTTAAACATGTCCTCACCAAGCTGCAAATTCCTCCTGAAAGTGTTAGATTTACTCATTGTTGTTGGTTTCTCATCCTATAGCTCTCAGTAAATGATGAAGAATGCTGCAGAGTTCAAAAAATGCTCACACTGGAAAGGTCAGTGGAAAATCCCTAACTTTTAAACTTCAACAGGAAGAAAGCAGGTTTTTTTCCAGGCTGCAAGTCTTGTGTCTTTGCTGGGCTTACCCACGAGATCCCATTCTCCGTTGGGGATATAGCCACTGATATCTGCCTCCTGCATCTGCAGGTCCAAGGACCACCCTCCATAAGACCAGGATCCAAACTTCAGTTTGCAATGCTGCACGTCAAAGGGGAACCAGCGCACATCAATATAGCAGGAGCTCTTGAATATGCCTGTGTTGGTGATGGAAACAACCAGAAGGCTGAAGTGGAAGACAACTGAGATGGACTCAAAATACACAGCAGTCCCTCTAGACCATGTTGCACCTTCAAACTGCTTCTAAACCTACCCAGAAAAAATTGTATATATTTTATCTATCTATCTATCAATTGATCAATCTATCGATCTATCAATCTATCTTGCAAACCTCTAGACAAGCAGCTCACCTAAAGCTTCACTGTCTTTTGAAATTCAAAAACCATGACAGCTTCTGTTGAAGAAGACTTCTCAGGGCTTTCTGTGCAAAGAAATTAGTTTTATAAACTTGTGTTTGCTCTGTGCATCAGACTCAATAGTAGGAGAAAAATAAAGAACATTAAAAAAAACCCTCAGAGGAATTAATAAAAATGCTCAAGAATCTAAAGTATGGGGGCATGTATTTCTGTGTGGGTATGTTTGGTCTGGGAAGCCATTTTATTTAGATAACCAATTGGGAAAATATTTGATTACCTAGAAATAAATGTGGAGGATTCTAGATGAAGAATACAACAACGGGCTGGGGTTATGGCCCAGTGGTAGAGCGCTTGCCTAGCTCATGTGAAGCACTGGGTTCGATTTCAGTACCACATAAAAATAAATAAAGTAAAGATATTGTGTCCATCTACAATAAAAAAAAATAAAAAATACAACAAAACCTGACAGGTGTAAGCCCAAGAAAGAGTGCTTGAATACAAGAAAGGGTTTCCACTGAAAGAGGAAGTTCAGGCTCTGGTAAGTTGAAAGTGAATTTCCCAGAAGGTCATGAAGATGAAATCAGATAAACTCATTCTAGTTTTATTTTTATGCCCTGTTCTCTTCCCTGCTCAGAGAAGATTGAGCAACACTAGAAGGCATGAATGGCTTAAGTGTCCCACTGCTGGTGGGGAAAGGCAGGTACTCTGTAAATGTCAACTATTGAGTTAAATAAAGACCATAGGGAGGAAGGGACTCAAAGTGCCTTGAAAACCCAGACTTCAACTCACAGCCAAGTTGTGAACAGATAATAAATTATTTGCCCCCTTAAGGTCCTCTAAACATGATTTGCAGCATTATTTCAAATGTTTATAGGAGTCTGGAAGTCTTAACTGACACTCCCCTTCCATTAGTAGTGTGGATTCCCCCAAACCCAGACTATTTGCAAGTTAAAACATTCTATAACTATACAATTCCATTTCTATGAAAAAATCCAAGAAAGACACAGAAAACAGATCTGTGGTTGCCTGGGGCTGGCTGTGGGAGTGGGGATTAACTGCAAATAGGCAAAAGGGATCTTTGTGGAGTGAAGGGAATGCTCTAAAATGGGACTGTGGTAATGGTTGCACAACTCTAAATTTACTAAAAATCATTGAATCATGTACTTAAAATGTATGATATGTAAATTCTACCTCCATAAAGATGTTAAAAATAAATGCATAAAATGAAGCAGGAAAAGTCACGTTATAATCAAGTCTCTATTTCAAAACCCACACCCAAAACACTCTTTTATACCCATGTATCACTAAACATCACTAAGCAGGGGCAGAGCAGTGTCCCCGAACCAGCCCTACATGACCCCAAGGCACAGGGAGTTCTGTACCCTTCCTTCCAGTGTAAGACATTGTCCCAGGTCACAACACAATGTGTCCCATCCTGACCAGACTCCCAAGGCCACTGAGGAAGGGTCATAGGATGGAGTCTCACAGGGTCTGTTGCGTTCAGAGGATTTGAGGGTCCAGAGTGCTGCCCTGGTAGCTGAAGATAAACTCAGTCCTAAGAACAATTTGCAGCAACATGTTCCTCTACCCTGGAGACTACTGGACACCATCTTCTAAAATGGCCCTGATAATGGCACTCATAACAGAAGCTGTAACTTGCAGGCCTGGTGAAAAGGAACTCAGATGTGCTGGAAGGCATTCCACAGCCAGTCTACAGAGGACCCACTGTCAGAAGGAAAGGCTGGGGTAGGAAAAATGGGGGGAATTGCCCAAGAACAGTTGTGTTGAGACAGAAAACCTGAAAAGCTGGATTTCTTCAATCTATACAAATATTACAGGGAGGTGTATGTTATTGATAGATTCAGTCACTCATTCATTCACATGGGCCTCACATGGTTGAGGAGCCAAGGATTCTAAGGTGAGCAAACACAGATTCTGTCTAGAGGATGTTTATCATCAGCTAACAGAAAGAGCATGTAAACAACAACCCAAAAAGCAAAGCTGACTTTGCTGTGTGTGCAGTGGAATGAGTAAGAGAGACTGTTGAAGGGGTGTATGTGTGTGTGTGTGTCTGTGTGTGTGATGTGAGAATATGTGATGTGTGTGTGGTTGTGTGTGGGTGGTGTGAGTGTGTGCACGCTGGTCGTGAGATAATTGCAGGTTCCTTTTGAGTAGGCAGTTAAGTAAACCAGACAGTTAGTATAGGAGAAAATCCTTGAAAAGAATATGTTAAAAAAAAAAAAAAAGAAGTTCTAAAAGCTGAACCTAAGATTGGTTAATATTCATATGCTAAAACAATCCACATTGTGCCTCAAGGCCGAAAAATCTGAATTTACCAAGCTGTGGATAACTCAATGAACAGCCTAGGGCCTTATAAGTCCCAAGAAATAGTGGGTTTGGGGATGGGGGGTGGAGGTCAATCCCAGAAAGTGTCTCACCATGAGAAAGTTGAAAAGGAGAAAAAACGAGTCCAGGAACAAGTCAGTAATGAGCTCCCTAGAAAGCACTGAACCTAACATCTAACCCATGAGTGCTCTTGAATGCATGAACTCAATGCACCATGCAGCACTCCCACCATCTCCCCCAACACCTGGAACACCTGCCAAGACAGGAAGTCGAGGAAAGTGGAGGACCAAAGTGGAGGAAAGGGGACCTGATTGTCTGATTTGTGGGTTGAAAGGGAGGAAAAATGGTTTGGATATCAGACTTGTGGGTCACAACAGGGAAGAAAGGGCATGTTTATCTGACTTACATGTTGAAATGGAGACAAAAGGACCTGATTATCTGGATTATGGGTAGAAAAGAGACTTGGAGATTACCCAACAAGGAAGGCTTGCTTTAATTATGGACTGAACTGACTTTTCAGAGCACATGGCAGAAAGTAAGAACACCCGACACATGCTGGCAAAGACCACCTGAGCCAGGATTCCAAGAAAAAAGAGAAAGATGGCAGTCTTGAGGGGGCACTGAAAACACAGAGAGAAAGTAAGAGGAGGAAGTAGAATGCATATAAGAGCCAGTTGACCCTCAGGTGGGCCATCAACTGGGCTGATATTTGCTTAATTTACTTGTTTAAATTTTTCAACTGGAAGAAGACAAAGAAAATGGGTCTTACCTGGAGGAAGATACTGGCAATGTCCAGAAGAATTCACCAAGACATTGGTGTGGAATGTGGCATCAAACCTCTCATCAGCACTAGAAACAGAAAATGGAGTTTTGTGAGCCAGTGCTATGAGGCTGTCGATTCCTCAGTGCACTTAGATTAGTTGAGCCCCTGGTCAGAACAGTAGCAGCTTTCTAGGGGCTCCTGTTTGTAACCAGGTACCTAAAATCAATTAAGGAGAACACCTGTAGATGGAAAAAAAAATCTCAACATATCCACAGGAGATAAGGAACATAGGTGCATGTGGCCACCCTGTCCACCTCACAGGACAGGGATTGTGACCTTCTATGTTCAAAGCTTTACTTCCAATCTCTTCAAAGGGGCCCAATACTTGCTGAGGATTAACAAATGTATTCCATATGTTTGAAACTGCAGGTGCAGGAGGGAGCTGGACACAGAACCCCAAAAGGGCTCTGGTCCACAGCTGGTAATGATGAAGGTGGGGGTAGGGAAAGATAGCAAATTTAGCACAAGTTTTAGATGAATGTGCCCCAAGACCCTCCCCTGTCGGTGACAACTTAGATAAATGCACACACAGGCCCGTGCACACCCACACATACACACACCCCTAAAAGGGGGAAAAAAGGATTAAAAGTAAAGACCTAAATTAACCATGACTTGCTTTTCTATTTTCCGACATTTCACATCTGAGGCCTTGCTGACCTGGAGGAACTGCCCCTCCTGGGATTAGTCAATTCCTAGAAACAGTAAACAAGTCTTCAAGAGCTCTTTTCAAATATAAATCAATCAATCCAGAGCCTACATCTCAACTCCCATTCTATCAGGCTCTCACACTTGGGGGGTCACTATCCACCAGCCCTAACCACCCCAGGGATGTGAAATTATTCAAATCAGCCCATTACAAACCTGCTTATTCTGCCTGACCTCTTCCTTCCCTGGAAAAAACACAATGAAAGCTCCTATCTATCTACATTTTCCCTGGTTTCTTTGCCTTATAATCAATCCAGCACTTCCCCCTGTATCCCTGACTCAGGGGTGAGTTATGATTCTTGCTGTTAGGAAACTTTGAATAAAATCTTCTTCCTTAGCAACAGTCAGTTCTGTATCTATATGTCTTACCATAGTGATTAAAATAAATCCTGGGTACTGTTAAAACACAGTCCTTCTACCTATAAATAATAATAAACTGCCTCAAGAAAACCTAGGCAAAAAAAGATGCTCATTCCACAGAGTCAAATTGCCCCTCATTTTGATGACCGGAAAACTTCTAGTAAGGGCTGCCCACATGGACAGAGGCTCAGTGAGCCTTTTCTATGCCTTGGTCCTCTCAGGAGAAAACTCACAGCCACTACATATTTGTGATCAGTCTTTACATGAGATTTACAATCAAGGATAAACATCTTTTAAAAATCCAAAGAGATCTGTCCATGAAAAGAATACAAAATTACTTCTTTAAAAATATAATATTCTCCCCCCAAATTCAAGAGGATATTGCAATTAGGAAAACAGCAATATGGAAATTGAAGCTAAAATTGATGAAATAATTTTCTAAATAAATATTTGGAGGTTTGGCTGATAAAAATCAGAGATGACAAGTAGGACAGAAATGATGCACCTCATAAGGACAAGGCCAGGAGAGCTCCAGTCACGAACAGAGGTCCATCCAGAGACAACAGGAGAGTGGGAGGGAGAAAATTACCAAAGAAATCACACAAAGAAAAATTTCCAGAGTAGAAAAAAAACCATTCGAGCATGAAGGCAAAGAAAGGCATTTTCAAGAATGCTGAAGCCTCAAAGAGCTTTCTCCCACATATGTGTCCTTGGTCAGCTTCAGAAAAATGAGGATGAAACTGAGAAAGAAGAAACAAACTTTTAGACAAAACCTGGGGACAGAGGTCAGGATCACCACAACAATCCAGACACGAGCCCAGGAACAGAGAGTCCCAATGAGAGACATTAGGGATTTCTCAGAGGAAATGGAGATGCAGAGCAACAGACAGAAGAAATAACAGGCTGGAAAACATCATGGATTTGATTTAAAATATATTAAAAACAATCTTAAAATAAGAATAACAGGAACCAGAAGCTGAAGGAAAAAAGTATATAAGAAAGTCATGATTTGAATATGATAAATATGAGGAATTTTAAAGGAAGAAAAGGAGGGAGTGACGGAGGCTCAGTTGACATATAAGAATTATCCACTGAGACAATAAAGAACATATCCACCTCGTAACATCCAAACACCAGAAAGGAAAGACAGAGAGGAAGTAGGATAAGGATGTAAATATTCTTGCTTGATTGTAGTCTGTATCTGACTGAGTTAATGAGTCATATCAGAAACCATAACTGGGCATAAAATAGCTAAAAATGGAAACCTTCAAAAATGTACTCAGAATAGCACCATGGTTTTCAAACTAGGTTCTCTGGGACCCTAACATGCTATGGAAGTCTTTTGAGATTTCTGCAAATGCTTGATTCCAATATTTTCTTTTCTTTGAATTTTTAAAATACGAATTAAGGTCCATGCAATCAAATGATTATACATAAAGTTTTAACTTTTCAGAGATTACCAATATTAATTTATGGGTCACTTTATTCCCCTTTGGGTGAGAGATAAACTGAAATTTCTCTTGCCATGAATGTACAACATATTTGAATTTCTTGTAAATGATTCACCACATGAGATTTCAGTTTTGCATTACTCTTTTAAAAAATGCAAGTTTGTGTCTATAGTTACATAACAGTGAATCTACACCAGACTTGGCATGTGTTCTGCCACTGACAATGGTCCTTGGCAGCAACAACAGAAAGTGTGGTCTGATGCCATGCCACAGGATACAAAATTTTGTGTATTTTAGGCTTGGGTTTCTTTCCTGGTTTTTATATTTATAATAAATACTATGAGCATCTGTTAGATCAATGATCCAACTCTGGAAAAAAAATTTTCTACGAGCTTTTTCTCCAAGCATTTATTCCAATTTAAGTGAAGAGATTTTTAAGACCACAAGAGGAATAGGTTAAAACAAGATTAAAAAACTGTTGCCATTAGCAACAGCTTACCTGTGTGACTCCATGATTTCAAAGTATTGTTCATCCATACAGAATACTGAGATACATGGGATTGTGACATTGCAATTGTTATCAAAACTCGAAAATCAATATACATGACAGCAGTTAAAATGTTCTTTCCCATAGGCAAGTTGATTTTATCAATAAATAATACAAAAGTGAACTCATGTAACAGATGTGTGCTAAAAGTACTTTATCTGTTTTGAACATAAGGGCTGCAGATAAGATTGACTTGAAAAGGGACCTTGTTGCAAAACACTGAGTTTGAACATAGCTCTCCAAGACAAATAATGAGATTTTTCTGAAATATAAGTGACTAAAGCCACTCATTTTGTGGGTGGCCACAAAGTCCACAGTCTGCTGCACAGCCTGGCCTTTTGCACACAGAAATGTCCAACAGATGCCAGAACACAGCAATCACAGTGCCATGTGATCTTGAAGCCTTCCTGCTGGGAAAATCTGATAACCACAGAGATGAGGATTGGTCCAAAGGGAATCACTTCATTCCTCTCTGCTTTTGTGTATATTTGAAATTTTCTATATTAAATAGTTTGAAATGGCATATGTGTGTGTGT